AGGTGTCTACCTGTCTAGTATCCATTACCTCATCCATACTGGCTCCAGGAGACAGTTGGTCATAGCTGGAAGGGATGGGGGTGCACGGTCCTTGTGGTCGTGATAGGCTCGAAGAGTGGTTCGAAGCACACGGTTTGTGGGTGGAGCGGACCACGGTCCAACCAGTGCCTTGTGTGCGCTTGATTCCCAAATACAGTGTGCTTGTGTTTGCCTGTGAAGGAGTGTGGGCCGGCTCCATTGATGAAACGTGGCTCCCATCCACATGCCTCACGGTCTTATTCCTCCGGGTTTACACTGGATACTGGGTGTGTGGATGGAACTGTGGGTCGTGCATCGCAAGCCACCCATGGTCCCTCTGTAGGCGCAGGCGCCTTGTGGCTGTCCCCGTGGAGGCCGCAGTGACTTGTAACTCAGGAACCGGATGCTGCCAACCATGCGTTGGGTGGGGAATGGGTATTGCAATTCACTTTAGCATTTCAGTGTCACGTCAATCGATCCTCAGTACACGGATATGAATAAATCAAAGTATGTAGAGGCAGTGATATAGAAGCGAATGTTGATAGCTTAGGTTGTTCAGTTGGTGGTCTGAGTGTTTGCTGAGCTCGGCAGTTTGGCTGCAAAGGTTTCGTCACCACTCGAGGTGACAATTGCATTTGTAACAAGGTTCACATAGAAAAGTGTACTAAAATCAACGACTTGCACCCGATATATCGCTCGATGTAAATAGATTAGATCAATGGACAAATGAACTCTGCTTCACAGTATCAGGTAGAAGTTCTAAAAGTAGGTCGCCCACGTTACATTGTGGTTTGTGCTACAGACCAACCGATGTGTTTTACTGACCACTGCTACCCATGGTCCCTGGTGCCTGTCTGAGTAACACATCTGCACACCTGATCATCGTGAAGCTGCCGCCAACAATGGGGGTATGCGAAAATCAATTTGACCCTTCAACGCTACTTTTAGTTCTTCCGATTTCTTTCTGTGGACTTAAGTACAGTTTGTCCCTAGTACGTGTGAGTGAACTTTGAATGAAAACTTTATGTGATTATATGACAAAAAAGTAGATTTCTTAACCACGGATGCAGCTATTTCAAGGCGGAAAGCGGTACTGTACTGTAAATGACTGCACATTCCATTGGCATCCTCATTCAAGGTCAGCTGCCGGCGTACCTGACTATCTGCCCCAATGCTGCAATCATTTTGGTAGTATATTGATTGATGGTCTAGCTAACACAGCTGTCTGCATTCAATTCAGTGATTCACATGGGGTTAGGTTACAGCTGTGGAATCTCGATGCAGGTTCACGCTGTCGCAACTAGGTGAAATGTGGTACCATCTGCCTGACTGCAAACGGTAGCCAATAAGGAGGGGGGGGAGGATACAGCCCTTGCCTGAATAATTAATGTTAATGTTGGCTTTCCTCCTGAGTACCTCAGTGACCTAATATTAACATGAACGGAAAATGTTCGGTTTGAATTTGAACGATCCACATACAAGCAAGTCGATGGCGTTGCAATGGGAAGCCCTCTAGGCCCAGTATCAGCGGACCTATTCTTTGGACTGATTGAAAGAAAGATCGCCGAAATTCTCAGTGAGGCTAAGCTTTATAGATGTTACGTAGATGACATATTAATCTTCACCAAGGAGGAGCATTTTAACCGAATTGTCACCCTGTTTAATCCGATTCACCCCGATCTCTCCGTATGGTATGAGCGGGAACAGTAAGATAGCCTGCCGATTTTAGACTTTCTTATCAAAAACTGAGTCCGAGGTAGACTCACCGTCAACCGTGAAGCAACTTGGAGTGGGCAATACATGCATTTCACCAGCTTCGCACCGGTTGCATACCAACGCACTCTCGTCAGAACCGTTTTAAAAAGAGCCAGGTGTACTTTGTCGTCCAGAGATACTGCAGAGTGAAGAAGAGTTCCTACCTAGGACTCTTTTGTCATACGGGTATCAGCAGAAATTTATTCAGTTACACATAGACCCATCAAAGAGAAGCTATCAGTAAAAACAGTGGGGAAAAAGGATGTTTGTTTAATTATACCGTTCAAAGGGTACAATGTTTCAAATGAAATTGGTCAAGAAGTTAGGTCTGCTGTATGGTGTACTTATACCACCGTCTGTTTACGAATTCTTCATACCACACGGAGACTGGAGCTCAACTACCGTCCGGACAGTTCGTCAGTCGGTTTGGCGTCTCATATTATTTACCAGTTCACCTGTCGTTACGGTGACGTTTATATAGGCAAGAGGGATCGGCGACTGGCCCCAAGGGTGGCTGAGCATTTCCCAAAGTGATTGAAGCAATCCATGGTACAACATGGAGTGAAGGATCAACTGGAGAGCCGGAACCCCGCCTCGTCTATTACAAAACATCTCGTGATGACAGGCCATCACGTGGATCCATCGAAGGCCTTCAAAGTGCTATTGATCAACCGCAACTCGAAAATGCTGACAATCAGTGAGGCATTACCGATTGCTGTAAACCGGCCGATATTGTGCGCGCAAAAGCAACTGAGGCAATCCATCAGATTTCGTTGGTCTTGATTGCTCAATTTTGATGTACCCGTATAATTTCGTTCCACATGCACACACGTTAGATTTTCACCCAAATGTATTACGTTTCCAACCGATGAGAGTAATCGAAATATTGATATATCGCAACCTTTGTCTTCTATGTGCGTTGACTGAATAGAAGTCATCAGGACCTGACCTAGTCATACGGTCTTGTGGTCTGCGTGAGAGCGCTAGACGGGAGTCTCATCATTTCAAGGCAAACCAGGGCTCCTTAGGCATGAAATCAATACCCAGTTTTTGCAGGAAAAATTAAGCATCCGCACTGTAGTAGATGAAAGTAGCCGATGTGACTTAGAACTTGTGATGTAGTTCATTCTACGATCCACTACCACGTGATAGACATGGTAACCCATAATTAGTGAGTAGTAGAGGGATGTACTTGGTTTTGGTGAAGACTCGTTGCAGCTAGACTCAGGCAAACAGCCACCAACCAGTTGAGCAACGACTTCCTAATGCTGGGCCGCGAATTTCGCTTTGGTATTATAACGGCCAGGATAAATCCACTGACAGCTAATGAGCCTCTAGGTCGGCGGTCAACAATATTGGCTTGGGAAAAGTAGTTAGAAAGGGACTCTTGGCTACCGTGAATGCGATTGCGTTTCAAACTTATCGGTGTAAACGACGGTGCTGGCCACAAACCGAATTTTGCCAAGAAGCCTTTCAATCAACGCATGACAGCGAGTGAAAATGATAGATCCTGTGACTGGAATCAAATAGGTAGTCAGAGTTTCCCAAATTTATGGAAATACGCCTGTTTCGTGATAGTTATTTATTCGATTTAACAAGTAACTGGTACCTGTGCAAATCGTATTCTATGATCCAAGTGAGTGATATATTTATAACTTTTTATATGATTAAGCCTAGTCACACCGGTTGGAATTCACACCTATCAATAAGGAGACGAAGACTGCAAGCGCGTACAGAAGACTTCGTTTCGTCACATACAAGTGTTGCTGTAGTCGAACTTCCGTTGTATCAGTGAGCGTTTGTCAGCGTATGATTTTAGTCATTTCCCCGCATGATGTACAGGGTCCGGCTTTAAATGATGCTAATGTTTGATGGGCTATCAATTCGGTAGACGCTACCAGCTCAATTAATTTCTCTAAGAAACCGTCACACGTTGTTGGAGTGACGGGGAGCAAAGTCTTCGAGACAAAGTTAGCCTCAGAAAACTGCACCATCATGAAACGAGACGGCGTGGCCGCCAAGTGACAAGTCTGTTTCTCTCTACTTTAGTGCATCGACATGTGTGCCGAAGGAGTGTGGGTTGGCTTCGGAATGCCTATGCTTATCACTCGTACGACTGCCGCTTTTATTCTCTCGGTTTTATACTGAACATAGGGGTGTGTGTGTGTGTGGAGTAAGCCATCAGCAATGAGGCGCAATACATTCATGATAGGTAAGTGTCGCGTGACCGGTGGAAATCACATGTTCGGGCCACCGCGATACAAATACTCACGAGGAATATTTGCGAAAACGGATTTCATATCGCCGCAGACTAGTGACCGTGAGTAAGCATTATTCCATAAATTACTAATGCGAGCTCATATCATCATGTGTCACGTGAGTGGGTTAACCGTTGCAAATGTCTCGATCCCTTTACCGTTATGACCATAACCTGAGCTAGGGACAGGTGGAAGTAAAAGAAGACAATAAAACGAAGATGACCTGAATTTCCTCATTCTGACCCCAGGGAAAGTTTCGAATGGAAGCAACAGAAAATATTGATTCAGGAATCGTAGTGCTAAACAAATCACATCTAATAAAAGATCAAAACGACACGTTCTCAAGTCTTTTAATCGACACCTGTGGTTGAGACTGTCTTGTTTTCATACAGCTAACGCAAATCGATGAACAAATTAAGAAGTAGTTGTATAAGTTGCTCCCATAAAGTTGGTCTTTGACAAGCAAGGTACAATATGGTTGCTAGAGGTTGCTACCCAGGTCGCCGGTGAGGAAAGAGCAGGATAGAACAAGTCACATGGTGTTAGACATGAAGAATCCTTGCAAGAATCCTACGAAGGAGCACAGTATGGAGAAAAACAGTCCGCACCCGATCATATGGTCCTCTGCTAATTTGGGACGGTGGATTACGCCGTCGGACTAATCGCGTCTACACATGTACCGTCTTCAGTGGTGTCTTATTTAGTCAGTAGAGCTGGTTGTTGATGCTTGAATCTAAGCTCGGTGCAATACAGTCTGCTACGCAAACAGTAAAACAATATCCGTGACAAATTCTTTGTGGCCGACTGACGCTGGCCATGGCGAGTGACATCATGTACATCCTCTGTGCGCTGACTCCATTTATAGGTAAAATCAGCAGCTAGCCTTACTTTACAAAACATTCAGGCAAGCTAGGTAGTACCAATATTTTAGGCGTAAAACGAGGGTAAATATAGTAAAAGGAAGCTTACTTTAGGTGATGGAACCACCGAGAACGTCGCCATTATTCTGTCCGGGTACTCTTCTCTGATCTTCGAGATGAGTAGAGTGCCCATTCCAGATCCTGTCCCACCGCCAAGCGAGTGAGTCAGTTGAAAGCCCTGCAGAGAATCGGTTGATTCAGCCTCTTTTCTGACCACATCTAAAACATTGTCGATCAGTTCGGCACCTTCGGTGTAATGACCTTTGGCCCAATTGTTTCCGGCACCACTTTGGCCAAACACAAAGTTGTCCGGTCGGAATAGTTGACCAAACGGTCCCGAACGCACACTGTCCATGGTACCCGGTTCCAGATCAACCAGCACAGCCCGAGGGACGTATTTGCCACCACTAGCCTCATTGTAGTAGACGCTGATACGTTCGAGTTGCAATGGGGAGTCTCCATTGTAGCGTCCAGTGGCATCGATTCCATGCTCATCGGATATCACCTCCCAGAACTATTTGGAAAAACATGAGGGAGAACTTAAACCAAATTAAAATCCGGGAGGTAACTACGCCCTCAGGCACCTCTCAGTAAAGTCCATGATGTACACATGCATAATTACTTTCAAGCGCAAAGAAATCTGCCATGATAGCTGTACGTTCACTCAGGTAGCTAATATACACGCTAGCCGGACAAGCCAACTCACTTTAGATCCAATCTGATTACCACACTGCCCCACCTGAAGGTGAACTATTTCACGCATGCCGAAGGTTTACTATCAGTGAATCGCAACGCATGGTATGCGCGACGCATATATGGCAACTTATGGGTCATGTGGTCACCGATTGGCCGGAGAGGTCTCTCACGTCGGTGGTTCTGACCAATCACATGCGGATTTAAAGGTAACCTGTGGTTGGCTGAAAATAGTCCGAATTAGTCAGCTGTACGTTACCGAAGGTCGCAGCTGCCCATTGATGGTCTACGGAAGCATCCGTTCTTCCGGTTTGGACGGCATACAAAACACAGCGGTAAACTAAGAGCTTCCTTCTCACTATTTTCAAGCCTTCTTAAACGTGTGCGCCTGATATGTAATAAATGACTTCATGCTGTCTGTGAGGAATCAGCAGTTCACTGTTGCATCTGTTCACGCTTTCAGTTGCGTACTCGATGCATTTCTTTTCGGATACTTGTTTGTATGCCTTTTATTCGTTGCCCGGCATTCTGATGGTTTGACACATATCGACCAGTTGATGCAGCCTCAATACTCCTCAACCATCGTGCCTTACCATCATGAGGTGGACAGTTGCTTCCCTTGGATGCGGATGTGCGATTATCTTGTTGATGTTATAACACCGTTCCGGACGATCATCTATACTTTACCTTGGAAAGAGGCCATTCTCCTGAGAGTTTAACAACTGGGTTCAGCTCGCCTCACAAAATCTTCGCTTATACTTAGCCGAAGTTGTAGTATTGAGACAAAGAACAAGTAGAAAGGTTTCTGTACAACTATCGAATTATGAAAAATCAACAACATTTAATTGCGGATTGTCATCGGTAGTGTTTGGTCAGTTAATCGTTTATCATTGTTCGGATGGGACTTCGAATTGGTATCATTAGTTCCGGGTGTAGGATGCATTTTGTTGCATTGTATGTGCACCATAGTCAGTTTCGCAAACTTCGTCGGCGACTGACCCGAGAGTTCGGTCGCATAAAAAGTACATGGTGGACGAAGAAGGCAAAGCAGATGAAATGCTACGCCGAACGCCGCCAACACAAGGATTTCTTTGACTTTTTGAAAGCGGTGTATGGACCCAGGTTGGAGCCGCTGAGGACGCTAATCGATGGTAGCTCAGGCGCTACCCGTACACAGACTGCAGACATAATGCAGATCTGGCGGAAAAACTTTGACTGTATATTGAACAACCGTTTAGAGATCGACTGGCCTACAATGAACGGCCTGAAGCAGCACAATGTGATCGCGAGTCTGGCGGACACGCCAACACTGGATAAGACACAGACAGCACTTGCAAAGCTGCGAAACGGCAAGTGTGCCGGTGCCGAAAGGATTCCGGCTGAAGTATTTAAACACGGCGGACCCGCGTTGGTGACTGCCCTGCACCACTTGATGCAACGTGTATGGATTGAGGAGGAGATGCCTCCTGAGCTGAAATATACGCATGTTCTACCACTGTACAAGGGCAAAGGTAGCAAGCAATGTTGCACGAATTATCGTGGCATCAACTTGCTGAGTTGTGTGGGCAATGTGATTGCCCGAATCCTGCTCAACCGCCTCGTCAGTCAGGTTGTGGAACCTAACGTGCGGCTTCCGTTCGAGTCGCAGCATTATAGATATGGCGTTTGCGGCTCGTCATTTGCAGGAGAATTGCAGTGAACGACACCAGCCATTCTACACGCTTTTTGTTGATTTCACCAAGGCATTTGATACGGTGAACCGCGAGGCATTGTGGCTGGTGTTGGGTAAGTTTGGTTGTCCGCGTAATTTTGTAAGTTTACTTGAATGTCTGCACAGTGGTATGCGAGCGAGGGTGGAGCTGAGGGGAGAGGCCTCGGATGAATTTGCAGTTGTCTCTGGTGTGAAGCAATGCTGTGTGTTAGCTCCTGCCCTGTTTAATATCTATCTTCATGCAATGTTGTCCTGTGCTTTTGATGCGGCTTGTGCTTACGGTGTTCGTGCGGAGCACCGTATTGACGGTGGGTTGCTGAACATCCGTCGTTTCGGTGCGAGAACTCTAGTCTGTGAGACAACTATCCGTAGGTTGCTGTTTGCTGACGACTGTGCGTTGTTTTCCCACAGCGCGGATGGGTTGCAGCATATGACTAGTGTTCTGGCTTCGACAGCGCCCAAATTCGGGTTCACCATCAACACAAGCTAAACTGTCTGTCTCTTTCAGCCCTTGCCGGAGTTGCAAGCTACATTGGTGACGCGAATCCGCTTTGGTGATGACATGTTGAAAACCACCTCCCGTTTCATCTACCTTGGGAGTGTGGTATCGACGGACCAGCAGATACGCCGTGAGTTGCGTATCCGCTTATCGAATGCAGCTTCTGGATTCGGGAAGATTGAGTGCCCTGTGTGGAACAACCAACAGCTTACCGTTGGCACGAAGCTGATAGTGTACAAATCCATGGTGTTCTCCGGTCTATTATACGGCAGCGAAATTTGAACGATGTGCCGGGGGATATGCAATATCCCGAGCGGTTGCATCAACAGTGTCTGCAAGGGATTCTGCGTATCATTTAGTTCGAGGACGTTGCGGACAAAGAAGTTTTGCGTCGAAGTGGAATGTATGCAGTGGAATGCATACTCTTGTTGCTACGCCTGTGGTGGCACGGTCATGTGTGGAGTATAAATTCAAGGCGGATACCGAAGCAGCTAGTATATCCGCAGCTGTGTTGGAAAGTGACATGTGGGAAATCGAATCTCCGTTACCAGGACATGATCAAAGTGAGCATCTTACGCTCTAATCTTGATTGCAGGTCATGGGAATCGAAAGCGGTTGATCGGTGTGCATGGCGCGATCTGATCACGAAGGCCATTGCCGAGGTGCGAGTGAAATCCCTCGTGCATGCAGAGGAGCGGCAATTGCTGAAGCGACAGGCGCCGATGGGTTGTCGTCTATGCACATCGAGCGCATGGGGCTGTAACACATGTAGTCGCGAGTGTCTGAGTCAGGCAGGCTTAGTGAGCCATGAGCTAAGCCAGTGGGGGCCAACACCGAAGGGACGACGGGTCCGGCAGAGAATGTAGACAGAGCCGGCACAGCGTTTGTAGGTATTGCATTCGGTTTACCAACTGCGCGCTTGCATGCGAAGTCTCTTTATTTCACGTGGTGGGTTTTCAATGTTGTCCTAATGCTTTTTATCTCAAATAAATGTCCACCGTGATAATTTTCTATAAATTTCTACATGTCCCTTAAACTACTTTGGTTACCTTCCATAACAATTTTGTTTGTGGCATTTTCTTAAAATGTATCTTCTGACGTCTTGACATTACCGCGGATTTGTTGGCAACCAATTTCCTTCATATGCTCATATAGTGACTAGTTATGTCACCGTATCTGTGTGCATTGTCCGATTTATTTTATTTGATATCGTCATTTCAAGTGAATGGCTGTTGTTTGATATACCCGGTGTGACCGCTTGTGGTGCATGTTGACAAGGTGCTTACCTGTCTATTACCCACTACCTCGTCCATACTGGCTCCAGGAGACAGTTGATCGTCCTTGGTGGGGACGGAGTGCACGGTCCTAGTGGTCCTGCTATACTCGAAGATTGCTTCCATGCACTCAGCGTGGAGCGGACTACGGTCCAGCCACCGCCTTGTGTGCGCTTGATTCCCAAATACAGCATGCTTGTGTTTTCCTGTGAAGGAGTGTGGGCCGGCTCCGTTGATGAAATGTGGCACCCATCCACATGCCTCCCGGTCTTATTGCTTCGGGTTTACACTGGATATGGGGTGTGTGCTTGGACTTGTGTGTGGTGCGGCGCAAGCCACTCATGGTCCCTCTGTAGGTGCAGGCGTCCTGTGGCTGGCCACATTGACAGGCAAATCCGAAACCGGATGCCGCCAACCATGTGCACCATTTCATAAAAGCGCAGGTTTTCGGAATTATCGTCGATGCGTGTTTTGAAACACTTCATAGAACCGGCCTCTATTACTCCTTCTGGTTGTGTATTACATAAGTTTACGATGCTTCGTTCTATACAAACTTGATGTGGTTCCCTGTGCATTCATGGGACCATGAGTTTGTAACGGCGTCCTCGAGTGTTACAGCGTTTCCGGAGGTGAAATGATGGATGCAGTATGGGGAAGTGATTCAGGTTTATTATTCGACGGGTCATAGTAAGGTCACTTCGTATTCGTCGCAATGACAGTGTTTAGAGTCTGAGCTTTTCACATGACTTTGATACGGAAGTCCTCTAGACTGAGGATCATTCTAGTTGCCATGTGTTGTATTTTCTCCAGCTTTTCCGTTTCGCACTGGGTTATCGGATGGTAATCTGGGGCGCCCTGTTCAAGGATTGGTCTGATGAGCGAGGTGAATAGGTGAGGGACGGTTTCTTCAGACCACGTGGTTAGGCTGCTTCGTAATGCCCAGAGTATACGAATTCCCGCACGGTACAAGTTCTGTACTTTCTAGTGACCTCACATCAAGTCGCAAGAGCTCTTCTAAATGACTGACGAATGTGTTAAGGTGGAGCAACTGGCCGTGCAGGGTGTATGATCGAGCAGCAACTCGTCTGGTGATACTGTTGTACGACTTGCTCACGTTAAGAGGGCGTTGCATCTCAGTGGACCAAGTTAACAGTCGATCTAAATCATGCTGAAGGCGAACGCCGTCGACTTGGTTCTCAATTATCCTCCAGATTTTTAGATCATCTGCAAACAAAGAACATGGTGACGAGCTACTGCGGGAGGTTGCTGACGCGATTAAGAAATATTACGTGGATCTTTCATTCGACTTCGGACCACTGCTGCCGATGTCACGGAATCATCCTCAATGAGGCCAGAGTAACTGAACAGAATCGTCACTTACTGCAAAAGCAGTTATTTTTACTTAGCACTCATTTGAAGCTTAGCAGTAGGCATTCCATGGATGCTTTATATGACCATGGACAAATGGCCTGAAAAACTGGATCCAGCCATTTTCACTACTAAGAGATTATTTCCACATGTTATTGGATAATTCCTGGAGGTATTTCGCGGTTCCACCAACACACAATACATCACATACGATAAAGTTCAATCCAATTGAAATGCTTAGTT